GAATCTAATATTGCTCCTCTGTGGGTTAGGTAACAATTTGCTAATATCATTCCCGAGATAAAGTGAACTAATATCAACTCTAAAATCACCCAATAATAATATACCTGCCAGGGACCTATTATTACTGAGTTTAATATAGCAAATAGTTGATAATAAATGTTCAAGCAAGAGTTCACAATTCTCAGATCCTGGCGGTATATAAACAGTACCCACGATAATATAAAGAAAGCTCCTTGGGAACCTGTTGTGTTTGACCATGATCCAGTTTACTTCCAATTCATCCGCAACATTAATTCCAATTAATTCTTCTGCATTGATGTTATCTTTTCTATTCTTCCGACATTCTCCAAAGATGTTGTAACCATTTATATTGTATTCAGCTGGGTGTGTGTCTGCTTTTACCAAGGTGTCCGATGTCTACCGTATGTTATTACTTCTAAGTTCAATAGATAACCCATCAATTTTATTTAGTGCTGAATTTGCGTTGGTGAGAGAAATATTCGACATGAGTTGTTTCTTGCTTTCAGGATTGGTTATTGTTTTTGGTTTACTTTTTTTCCCCTTGGAATGTTAACTATACAGCGCACTTTGATCATTTGTTAAACACTGTTAGTTTCTTTTATCTACCTTGTACCCGTTATTATAGTTGGAATTTTGTTACGATCGAGCTGCTCTACATCCCCTAGTTTTAGCAATACAAATTGCCTTGAGGTTTTCCCATTCTGTGTCCTTTAACGAGTGCAACGTTTATTTAAGCTATGCCTGGTGTTGACAAGTATTTAAAAAAACACATCCTCAACAATGCTAAGGCTTTATTCAGCCACCTGATGTATGTAGTTCAAGTAAAACACAAAACACAATGGCGTCTCGGCAAACAGCAAAGCTACTTACGTCCTGCGTTAGGCTACCACCACTGACCATACACCAGTCGATCCTCACCTGGACCCGTGGCTTCCAATTGAATTCCACAAAAATGGCAGCGGTAGATTTTAGTCAACATTAAGTTTTGGACAAGAGTTCAAGAACGACGTCGTTTTTCTACTCACATAAAGAAGAAAATATGTTAACTGAATGTTAAATACTGAGACAAAAAAGACCAACAAAAACATACAAAACAAGCAATAAAGAGTGTTTGGATGCAGCGAAAACACATCAGCAGGATTCAATTTTACAAGCAGAGACTGGTAACAAATCAAACAGGGGTGGCGCCAAGATTTGCCCGAGGGGGTCCGAGGTCCCCGATAGGGGGTTCTCCGACGATAGAAAAGTGGACGTGGTCGGGCGTCATTAAAACTTTGTAAAAAGGGATCCAGGGAATGAAGCAACCCCCCCGCCCCCCGAAAAATATGACAATTTGGCTCTTTGTTAATATTCCTATCAATTTCACAATTCATATATTTTTAACTCATTTTCCGATCAACAACATTTTGAGAAAAAAAATTAGATTGATTGGTTACGTCAATGAAAAAACCCATATTAATAATATGGCTATACCGTGTTGAAATGCACTTGCTGAGTATGTGACAGAAAGATGAAAGAATTTTTCCATACACTTATTTAGGCTATATCAAGTCAAAACACAACTAAAATGCCTGATTCCAGTCTAAGATTGGCAAATATTCAACAGTATACGGTACTACACGACACTATATTCTGTTGAGATTACAAAACACATCACAGAAAATTTTACACTTTAACGTATTTATTTTGTGCTACTGATGAACTCAATGAGATGTGCAATTGTGCTCATACCATGCATATATATTAATATAATTAGCATTACGTCACCAACTTTATCTGCATTCAGCGAGCGATTTCACAAGACTTTATGAACAATCACTCACACCGTTGGGGCATTTTATTGGATGTTGCATTTTACCGTTCCTTTAGCAAACGGAAGATAAGATACGGTACTGCGTTTTAATTACGTATATTCGAACTGTATTTGGAAGCGACTACCATTAGATCAATGTGACGTTACCCAACACCAAGACCACGGTTTTTAATTAACCAATGAGTACTCAGCCGACTACAATTTGAAACCAGGAACAATATCTTGCATGAAAAATAAAGGATTACACTTCCTACATATGAACGTTGGATCGCTGATAAACTCACTGATGTTCGAGATATAGCCCGCAAATGTAATTCAGCCATTTTTTCCATATCTGAAACTTGGTTCGACACCTCAGTTACAAAACAAGAAATTGCAATCAAAGGATATAGTGTCCTGAGGAAAGACAGAAAAAGGAAGAGGTGTCTATTTTTATAAGAAATGACATCGCAAAACTTGAAGCAGTCGACTAATTCTTAGATAGGTTATTTAAACAACTAAAGAAAGATAAATATAACAAAGATCTGCAGAAGGTATTTTTGAAAATTTAGAAAGGAAATACAGTATGATATAAAAAATGCCAAATCGATTCAAATACATTCTTAACAGAGCTGAAGAAAACAAAAATAATCCAAAAAATTAATGGGAGCTTCTTAAGACGCTAGGATATGGCAACAAATCTAACTAATCGTAAAAAACCGTAATTAACTTACCGGCCCTGCAGAATTACTTCATGTTTCAATGAAGTCACCACACTTGTTGACAAACTCCCAAACCCTAAAAATGTGTATGCTTCATATAACACCGTAAGTGACAAAAATGTTATACTAAGCAAAGTTGACGAAGCTTGTATTCTTAATGAATTAGGAAAACTGAATCCATCAAAAGGCACAGGCATGGATGATATTCCTCCAACATTTCTCAAAGATGGTGCGAATTTTCTCAAGACACCTATTACCTATTTAATTAATCTATCAATTGCTACTAATACTGGTCCATCTGATATGTAAATTGCTAAGAATAAACCATTATAAAAAAAATGATGCAGAACACAGGTTGAGAATTATAGGCCCATTAGTATCTTAAGCTCTCTCCCAAAACTATTAGAAAGAGTTGTATTCATTCAACTTTACAGTTTTTCTCACTGAAAATAATATAATTTACCCATACCAATCTGGTATGGGTAAACAGACTCTGTCTTATAAATTTACTTGATGATCTTAAGATCCGATCATCCAAAGGGCTTTACTCGGGTATGGTTCTTATCAATCTCCAAAAAGCTTTTGATAGGGTAGATTGTCATATTTTATCTGAAAAGCTCAAATTAATGGGTGTAGTCTCTGTTGAGTGGTTCAAATCATATCATTCGGATAGAAGGCAAATCGTCTGTGTTAATGGAAGCTAAATCTTGTATTATTTCATGTGGAGTTCCACAATGTAGCATTATTGGCCCCTTACTTTTTATTTGTTTTGTAAATGACATGGTTATTTGTACTGATTTTAAATGCAAACTTATGTTATACGCTGATGGTACTGCATTAGTTTCCTCACATCAGGATCCAAATATTGTTTCCAATACACTTGGAGATGCTTTGGATTCCTTATGTGAATGGCTTGTGGCTAAGTTTAAAAATTAACCTTGACAAAACTGAATGCATTATCTTTGGCACGAAAATGAAAGTAAAAACAAATGGATGTGATATAAATTGTAAAAGTTTTGTTAATTATCTCGGAATTATAATAGACCAATGTTTGGAAGGAACGGAATATTCAAATTTCATTACCAAGAAAATAAACAATAGACTTTTTTTGTATCGACAATAGAGGGTTCTCAACACAAAGTGTTGCAAAATTTTATGTTCAGCTCTTATTCAATGTACTGCATAAACGATTACTCCTCTTCTTTCTGGTTTTGTGGTATTCATAAGACGATGAAACGTAAATTGCAAATATTACAAAACAAAATGTGTAGGTTTGTCATTCAATTAGGTCCTAGAGCCCACATAGGCACCGATATAATATTGGTATCTTAAATGTTGAGAATAGAGTCGATTCCTTCGTCTTAATCATGTATTTGAAATAGTTCATGGCCAAAAGTGCTCCATATATGTCGGAAGGATTTCAACGGGTAGCAAATTTTCACAACCATAACACTCGATCTTGTCGAAACAATTTTGAAGTACCCAAAGCCAAAGGAATTGGCTCCTCTATTTTTATATAATTCTATTAAAGAATGGAATGCATTGCCCAAATTTAATAAAAAAGCTAACAATCTAAATTGCTTTAAAATAACTCTTAAGCAACACATTATGGAGCGAGAGCTGGTAGTTGTCTAAACTAATAATAATAATATTTTGATGTTGGAAATAAGTTATTTTTAATAACTTTTATGTGTTATCCCTAGCATCAGGTTTTTCTTTTCTTTTGTATGTTTGTTGATTTTTGCTGTGTAATTTTGTATGTAATTTTCCCATTTTTTATAACATTTTAATGCAGTTTTCATGTATGTTTATGAGAGATGCCGAATAAATAAACAAACAAAACTAAAATGGGTCCAAAGTTAACTTCCTTGGTGTTATTCAATTATCACCTACAGGTGATTGCAACAAATGTTTCTAGAATTATTGTTGTTTTCAATAAAGTCAAATTGATGTTATATAGTAAAATCATGCTACCAATGTACAATGCATTTTTACTACCTAGATTAACTTACGTTATTACCATTTGGTACGCCTGCTAGCATTTTAAGTCGTTTAAATTATTGTTCAGAAAAATTATTTTAGATGTATAAATGATTTGTCATGTACATTATCTGTAAGCTATCCACTTTATAGGCCTATAAATACGCAAGGATTAAATATTAAACCTTAATCTTTAAAACAGCCATATTTATATATATGTATCATAAAAATCGATTACCTGTATCCTTTGATAAACTATGAAATTTGACTGATTCCACTGACATTTAATCACAGATTTTTAAAAATCGATTATTTTAAGTAGATATGCCGAAGCATCTATTAGAGAAATTAGAGCTATTCTGACGTCACTTTACATGACCAATTCAATCCTAACCACAACGTTCGACTTAAGTCAGTCACTACCACGTAGAGTTGTGTTACGGTTGTCATTATATAAATGTGTTTTGTTCCATCCGACTTGTAAAATGGAAGGGCTTGTTAGTTCCCGGAATGTCACAGCCAACGAAATACGGGAAAATTTAATATTTGTTTTAACTGTTTATATACCGTTGGACTTGGTGATCATCTGTGGAAACGCGTTTGTTCTTATTGTCATTCGCCGAATTCCAAGCTTACATGAGACTCAGTTTACTTTGCTTGCTAGCTTAGCATTGGTGGACCTACTTACGGGGATCATAGGCGTGCCTATGTTCATGTGGGCGTGTATCCTGCGGGGATCCCTCTACATAGAGAACATCGATGACTGCGAGTTACAATACATACCTATGAAAGTCTTCATCTGTACTTCGTTTCTCCATCTTCTCCTTATTACCACGGATCGGTACGTTTCTATAATAAAACCCTTACGATATGCACAAATTGTTACTCGGGCCAGGGTTTACTGTGCTATCACTGCCTCATGGATATTAGCATGTTCTTATGGATTCATACAATTGTTTTGGAAAAGCAAACAAATTGAAGGGATATTCTTTTGCTATCAGGTAAATCCGCAAGGTGTCGTAGTTCAACGTTACGCAGTTTTGGTAATATTTCCAGCAGCTATGTTCTTAATGATCATAATGTATTTCCGTATTTTCATGAAGGCGAGAAAACACATAAACGCAATAGCCGCTCAGAATACAGTCGGTACACCAACATCTGTTTACAAGAATATTAAAGCGGCTAAAACAAGTGCTTTGATGGTCTGCTGTTTCATTGCTGCCTACTTTCCTTATTCTAGCAAAGTTTTTATAATTTTATTTGGACCTCAACGTTCTGATATATACTGGTACGATTTGATGTCTTCGGTGTTGTTGTACATGGGTTCGGCCGTCAACCCGCTCATTTACATGTTCCGTCATAGGCAATTCTCATCTGCTCTACGTCGTCTATTGCGAAATTCTCAATTACAGTAATTCCGTTCAATATAGACGTTGTACCGACAATAAGACTGTTTGTGTTCGATATAGACGTTGATACCGACATTAATGAGGTTTCACGACTTTGTTTCGTAACCCACAGCTTATTGTTTGCAGATACAATAACCTGCTTTGTCGAACATGCATCACGAACTCAACACAGTAATTTATATGGTGTGAGGATATGATTATGGGATTGAAGAACAGAGCAGAAAAAAGAGAGTAAAGAAACAAGAAAAGATAACACACTTCACAAAATCATTAGCACCATCTGCCGAACAAAAAGGCAAAGCGAAAGTAAACGACTAGAACGAGTCGTCAAGGCACCACAAAAGAAGAAAATCAAGCGAAAGTAAGAAAAATCGTAAAACAAAGTTTTTCATTAGTAAAATTAAAAGTAATTCGTCAAGCAAATTGCATTATGATGATTGGAAAAAAAATTATTATGTTGTTTTTACAACAACATGAATAACATAAGTTTGCATTGTCTCCCTAAACGTGACAAAACAAAGACAAATATTTAAGTGGTGTCGTGATCAAAAAGTAGATATTGTATTGTGGCAAGAAACGCATCGTACTCGTGAATTGATTAATACATTTACTTCAATAAGGGAGGGTGTTTGCATTCATAGTACAGGTTTTTCCAATAGTGCAGGAGTGTCTGTTATAATTTTAAAAGTTTTAATAAACAATATGTGATAACAATTTTTAATAAACAGAGTTTGGTGATGATTTAAATGCTGTACAATTTCTAATTGACTCCTACTAATCATATGTTTGTGACCCGTGCTCTGAAAAAACCTACAATAAACGTCTATTAATATACGATATATAAACATAGTGCAAAATATTACATTTTCAGGATTGTATAACGGCTTTACCACTCGGGGATGGATTTATCAAACTTTATCAAAAAGCTTAATAACAGTAGTAGTTCGTTTAAAGAACTCCGTCTAGGTTGTGCTTCCAGAATTAAAATTTCATTGATTGATTTTATCATTCATTTACACACTCACTCATTCACTCATTCACTCATTCTTTTAATCTTGTATTCATTCATTCATTCATTCATTTAAAACAAACCAACAGCGAAAAAAAGAATCGCCACTTACAGGATTGTAAAACACATGAGACGGGTTACGAGATAAAAAGATAATTAACAATCATTGCACTCACTTTGCCAGAAGTGAATACAAGTACGGAAAATAATATAATATAACAAAGGTAATAAATGTTTTAAAATAAAAATTATTCGAAAATTATTTTAAATTGCCATATATTCAATAAATTATATTAAAAATATTGAGTTGAACAAACCAGTTTGTACAAACCCATAGATTGGTATTCAAATATGATGTTGAAGATATTAAAACTTTAGGCCTATACTCTAATTGTTAAGGTCATTTTAAATCTTTCAAATGTATAAAAGGGAAAAATGAGATCTGTTTTTTACACGCAAATTAAAGTGTTAAAACAATGTACATAGTAAAAAAAAAACGAAAATTTATTTTAAAAAAAATGTTGTGTTCAAATTTGATGTTGAAGATTTTCAACATATAGGCACTCTCTGATTGTATAGATCAGGATTTTTTTAAACTTTTTATGTTTTAATTTGTGTACATATATTATAGAAATGTATGGACAAAATATGAGATCTATTTTATACAAACTTATAAGAGTGTAGAGCGTGTAAAATCACAATGTACATAGTTGCAAAAAACCGAAAAATTTACAAAATAGAAAGTAAAATATTTGTAATTTGTATTTGTAAAAAACCAAATATACTCATGGAGATTGAGAACATAATATGTAATATATGAAGTATTATGATTCTGATAAATAAATTTGGCGATTCCACCGCTAATAAAAATAAAAATAAATAAACATCCACCATCTCACCACCAGGTTTAAAAAAAGCTAAGAAATTTTTAATGTAAATTTGTACATCAAAGAATCACAAAAAAACAGTTTTCTTTTTAAAATCCACCAAAATTGATTATTTTCTCTGTCATTTCTGTAAAAGTTAAAAAACACAATATCGCATTTATTTTTTTTCATGTAGGCATACAATGTTATAGTCAAACAAAACTTAATGCCACAATACCGACCGAAATTATCTTATTATTTTTGACGTAGAAACAAGTCATAAATTTGATGCAATAAATTCTTTATTGATTATAGCAAAGACGTTCATATTTAACTGTAACCATCTTGATGTTCTTCTGTTGTTTTAATCAATTTAAAGTTATTGAAAAACAGCGGTAGAAATTAAAAAGCTTTCTAAAACAAAATTCATTTACATGATATTAAAGTGAAACTAGCATTGATCAATTATGCACATTTAAAAATTGAAAACTAGAATGTTAAAATATACATTTATATTATTCAACGGATTGCAAAATCAATTGTTTTCTTCTCTTTCTGTCTCCTTTTGCTTTCTTCATGTGTTCTTTTAGTGCTATCTTTGCCGGTGTCGGCTCTGGTAGTCGTAGCATGTGTTCAAGCCCAGTTCAGTCTTCTTTCCTTTGATAGTTCAATTTCTTTTGATTTGGCCGTTGTTGTACTAAATGAATCCGTGAATGCAAGATTGGCTGAGTTATGTGACGTGGCGTCAGAATAATAATAAATCGTTAAATGTCAAAGAAAAGATATTAATACAATAAGAAAAAATAAACGGGATTACCGTGACACAAACATTTCAAAATTTCGTGAATCGCATTTGATAACCTAAAAACATTTTTTAATAAAAATTATTATTTTTTAAATAAAATAAGTAAAATGAACCTTGCAATGTATTCTACTGTCGCGGTTGGACTTTAGAAAGATATTGAAAAGGGAGGTACAATTTCCCTTGAGTAGTTTAGACTCAGTTGGTAATCAATCACAGGACATCTGTGTATAGCATTTAGCGTTTTATTTGTACATAAACCAAAGCGAACTATAAGAAAAAACCCTGCAAAATATACATTCCAAGCAAAGAGTTAGGATAATATAATGCATTATAATTATATAGTATATCAAGCATAACATTAGGCAAGTTATACAATTGAACAACAATTCTGATATAACCTGGCAACACACCAACATCAGAAACAATTTGATGATTAAATAGCATAGCCTATTAAAATGGTGTAATTACTTGTATTTACCTCAAGAAGAGTCTGCTTAATGCACCAGTCTGTAAACTACGACTATTGGACGCTCCAACAAACTTCTGTTAACTACAGATTAATAATGGCCACCAAAACTTCCGTAGCTTCAGACTATTACTGGCCACCAAAACTTTCATAATTTCAGACTATTACGGTACTGGCCACCAAGCTAACGGTATATTAATCACTAAACAAGAATATAACGATTATGAGTAATAACAATCACTCTCCATTAGCGGAATGTAGAATAACATTAATAATATTAACAGCTCATGTAAATGTACAGCACAATAATATTAACAATGCATTCAATACCAGCATTAGTCTAATACGGACATGAATTAACTACATATAATTATATAACATGCTTATAACTTATTGTATCAATGCACACATGTCATTCAATTAAATTAACTACAGATTATAATATACACTTACATCATAGACTTTAGAACTGCATATTGCCAAAATAACGAACTGCATACTGCCAAAATAACGTGTACAGGGCTTGCAACGGAACAAACGAAAACTCGTTACAAGAACCCACAAAAGCATATGTACCGCAGAACAGCTGTGTATTTGCACGAACATGCACGAGATGAATATGACAATTCAATAGCAATAAAGCAAACAATAATTATAGCTGCAGCGCAATCCCCATCGCACGAACAAATCGCATCATCACACTACTATTTATGTTTCCACTTCCACTTAGGCTTTGACAACAATCTTTTAGATCCTCTTTATTTTTTATTATTTTATGGAAAAATGGGGTTTGTTTAGTAGCAAATACTATTTTTTTTTCATGAGACTTCAAAATTCGATGTGAGCGGCGACGGAAAACTAGCACTTAATAGTATTTGTCCATAAGGTAAGTCTATATACGGATATAGGATATAAATACACATGTATCAATTTCTGCTCTAGGCTTATTTCATAATTTTTATTATAGATTGTTTTTAAGTTTCGATCTTTTTCTAAATTAAATGAGAGAATCATAAAACACAGGACACTCAAATACATAATTTTATACAGAAACAAGTCACAATGCCTGATAAATTATTCCTGTGTCCTAATCGTAAATCTTGCAAGCTCAGTGTAAAAAGTGTGGAGCGATACGAGGCTTACATGATGACCAGGTAACATAATCTATAAATAGAATGGTTTTTGACAAAGCAATTTAAAGAGAGCGTATTATCCAGAAAGCTGTACATAAATTTCTTTACAAATAATAGGAATATCATATGTCCGTGGTAAGTGTATTACGTTTAACAAATTTGTATGGGACACGATCATCATAACCTTGAGCGTCAGAATATAACTAGCTGTTTTAAGCTTTCTCCAGATTTGACAAATAGCTGTTCTATGAGGTAAAGAAGAGGTGGGAAAGCTACTTTGAACATCTAATAAATATGGAAAATTAGAAGGTGGAAAGAATGGTTCCAGAGAACAGTGAGGGCGACGTAGCAGAGAACATTGCAGTAGAAGTTGCAGATGCAATAAGAAAAACAATGACGAGTTGGGGGCTGTCTGACCAAATGACATCCAGTAGAGGTGTGGAAGTGATTGGGATACATGGGAGTGGAGATGCTGACACACATGTTTAACAGGATTATCCGGAGTAAGAAGATGCTAGGGGAGTGGAGAAACAATACCCTGGTGCCAATTTACAAGGATAAGGGTATATTCAAGACTGTGGAAACTATAGAGAATAAAACTAATGTCACATACAATGATGATCTGGGAGAGTGTTGGACTAAACACTGAGACAGGAAGTCAGCATTTCCCCGGGGAAATTTGCATTCATGCCAGGATGAGCATCACGGACCCGATTTTTGCACTGAGGCAGATGATGGAGAAGTACAGGGAGGGACAAAAAAGCCTGTGCTTTTATAGACCTGGAAGAGGCCTATGATTATGTTCCTAGAGTTGAAGGTAACTTTCGGTAAGTATAGGCCTCTAAGATGAGAATCATGTTACATAATATTTGGATTAAACCGTCTCTAAGATGGAGGTTCAGAGAAGGAGGTACGAAAGAGGATCGAGGTGGGATGGAGCTGCTGTAGAAGAGTGACTGGTTTCTTGTGTGCAATACGACAGTCCCACAAAGAGTGAAAGGCAAGCTGTATAAGACCATGGTAAGACCAGCAATGTTGTATGGGATGGAGGCAGTGGCGGTAGCAAAGAAGCAGGAACAGCTGATGGAAGTTGCGGAAATTAAAATTCTAGGTTTTTAACTAGGCTTAAAAAAGAAAAAACTCAGAAGACGGTGGAAAAAAAAAGGTGGAGTGACTGTGCCAATGAGCACATGAAAGCAGCGGGATAGACAAATAAACATGAATATGTGGAGAACAGCAATCCGCACCGGCAGCCCCACTTAAAATAAAGGAATAAAGCCTAATGAAGAAGAAGAAAAAAAAGAAGAGGAGGAGGAGGGGAAGGGGAAAGAGAGAGGAGGAAGCGGATGAAGAGAAGGAAGAGAAGGAAAAGGAGGAAGAAGAGGATAAAGAGAAAAAAGAGGAAGGAGAA